CCCACCTGAAAATGTCCTAGATTCATCTCGGCTCCTGCGGGCGTGAGGATGAAGAAGGCCCCTGCCAAAGCCCCAAAACCCAGAAAAACGCACCCCCACACAAACCCCCACAACAAAAACAAAAAAAAACTAAACCCTAAACCCTAAACTAAAAAACAAAACTCCAGAACACCTGAAGCCCCGAAACATCGCCTTCAGATCGATCGGGGTCTCGGCGGAGGGTTCCGGCGGAGCCGGGCCCTGGAAAGTCGACTCTTCGGCGGCTTCGTTGTGGGGGTCGCTCTAAAGCTTAGGGTTTAGGGTTTAGGGTTTAGGGTTTAGGGTTTAGGGTTTAGGGTTTAGGGTTCTGGAGTACTACTTGGAGGATCATGGGACTTAGTAAATGGTTATTTTATAGACTTTTCAGTACTCTAACCCCAATTAGGGTCCCTTTTAGCTTATAAGTCTACTTATTACCTACCTACTTAGTCTCCCGACCCTCCAAGTAACCTCCCAGGTACCTACTATATAGGGTACTAGAGCCCTTAGGGCCCTATATAGTAGGTACCTGGGGGGTTAGGGCTTCATACGCGCATTTCATTCGGATCTGCGACGTCAGGTCAAGGCAGATCGCCAGTTCGGACACTGGCCGAGTCTTGGATGCTCTGCTTGCTTAAAGGATCATGGGACTTAGTAAGTAGGGTTATAGTTAGGGTAACTATACTTATACCCCCAATTAAGGGACTTATAAGCTTACTTATTTAGTCCCATGATCCTCCAAGTGTTGTAATGCCGTAAGGCCTCCCCTACCAGTTACCAGGCACTACAGACTCCCGTGTGGCGCCTTGGCCGCCGTGTCGGGTTCCATCGCGGCCAGTCGAAGAGCGGACGTGACCTGGCGATGTCACCCTTCTCACAACTTGACGCGAACCGGACTGCGGAAGCAATAAAAAAATGGCAGGGTCCCTGGAAACGGGCCGGCCCGACCTGATATCGGCGTAGGGCCCTTGCAGCGTTGTTGCACTCGTTGCGTCTGCAGAGGGTGAATGCCAACTGCCATTCACCAAAAGCCACCAAAGTGGAAGGCAGAACCCTTGGGCCCAAACCCCAAACACTTTTGCAGCAGGCTTCTCTCGCCCGGAACAAACCGTGAACCCCACAACCCACATCCCAAACCATCCCTAGGACACCTCGGTGCCCCCTGAGAGCAAACCCTCAAGCGCCAAATCTGAAACCTCGATACGATTCTCATGTTTATGTCATCGGTCATGTCATCGATATTTCCAGACTATACCTTGAAGCCTTGCTGACGAAGCCCCGCATGTCGCAGCTGATGAGTCCAAGGTTTGAGTCGAGTTTAGGCTTGGGTTGTTAAGGTCCACTGTTTCTATATCACGTTTACGCTCTTACAACTCGGACATGCCAGGTTTCAGTGCCCCTAGGCGCTATTTCGTGTTGCCAAGCAGCAACCCTTATCCGCAGCTCTCCGCCTCCGCCATAGAACCCTAGAGCCCGAACCTACAGATAACACTTCATTCAATCTGCATCAACTAAGGCTTAGCACGGCTTGAGTGCTCGCCAAACCTTGAACCTCAGAGTCCGAGATTTCGGCACTCACGGGTCTTGGGATTTAGGGTTCGCTGTTGCTTTGAGGGCCCTTTTACCTTAGCTTACAGTACTTTCATAGCAACAGCATCTCCTTTCCGATAGCCCGCAGTACATTTCATGTCAACCCGAAACCCAGAAGATCCCAAAACCCCAGATCCATGTTGAAAAGGCACTTGTTTTTTAGCAGGGACTGCAATGCACTAAGCAATGCACGAAGCCCTGTTCAAAAGACCCGAATATAGGGGCCTTAATAAATAAAATAAGGTTTTGGGTCCCATTATACTATAATTATAGCAAGGAACCCCCCCCCAAATCTATTCTAATTATTAAGGCCCCTACATTAAGACCCTAGACTCCAAACCCTTACACCGCAAAACCCTCTGGACCAGCTCGGGTGCTTGGCCAAGTCGAAGGGAGTGTCACCGATTTCAAACTTCAAGCCGTAAGATGCCACGAGGTGATAGATGGCCCCCTGGTTTTTGAGTCTATCTCTTAGCCTTAGGGTTGTATAGCGTCTTGATTTTCGAGAATCGGTCCCATCATGCTCTTGTCGGGATCGAAAGTGGTGACTTCTTGTGTGTGTCACCGCTTGGTTTAAACTGGCTTTCTCTGCTAAGCCCTCGTGCACTCACTACTTCTTCCGGCGCACTTTTGCGCCGTTTCTCGGGAGATCTTCAAGTATACTTCGCGCAGGTTGCGGGGAATGTGTTCCAACACTGACAGCGCTAAGTTCCCTTGTGGTGGTAGATCCTACCTGCGGTCCTAAGTGTTTGCCTCCTGCATGGCTGAGCGAGTCGCGAAGCAGGGTAATGCCAGATACAGGTAAACTCTGCACCTTCATAAACTTTGGGAGTTGTGGTCTGTGCTAACGCGGCCCAACGATCGACCCGCTGCCCTTCCTGAGCTGACCAACTTGTTGCATTGCCCTTGCTGCCTGAAGCGTCCGTGTAGCTTATGGATGTGTGGTCCTGGGAGGATGCGCTTTCCTCCTCTGTTCACCGATAAGTTGCCGCTTGCAGTTTGCACCTGGAAGTGGGAGCTAAAATGATAAATAGTTGCAGACACATCCAGCGAGCACTCCTTACAACAGCCATGTGTCCGCTTTGGTTTCCTGCGCTTTTGGCCCAAGCATCGAGAACAAAGCATCACGCCAGCCGGACGAAGCAACTTTGGGGTCTCGGCCTGGATTCTGAATCACCCTGGCTTTTTCTTACATCCTAACTTGGAGGTTCATTGGTAGTTATAAGTGGGGTTATAAGTCCCCTAATTGGGTTATAAGTATAGTTACCCTACTTATAACCCCATTTATAACTAACCATGAACCTCCAAGAGCTCCTAACCGACCCAACCCCAAAGCCCCAAAACCACTCCAAACTGGGCTCTTGCTCTCCTCACCTGCTCTGATGACTCTCTCGGCCCGCCTGGTCGGCAGCATCGTGGTACGTGTCCTGGTTCGGAAGGGTTCACAACTCGAAAATTCAGATGGGCATTGTCATTGACGTCATCGCACCACAAAATGTCAACATGAGCAGAAACCGTCGTCCACCAGCGACGTTGTCACATGATGATGCAGTGGCACGAGAACGTATTGAACAGCAGTATACTTACACAAAACAAAACCAGGGAAAGACACACGCCGAAGTGAGAAATGTGTCCATCGAAACCTGGGCTGCCAGCTCCTTGCATAACTATCCGTACACCCGACAGCTGGCCGAGTGTCTGGGAAACCTCAACCCCCTCGAATCCTCAGCCCTCTGCCCTGCCTCTGAAAGCTGCAAAATAGAACCGAGCACCCTTGAAAATCAAGCTCGCAATGGCGCATAGGAACCTTAGTCCTAACTTGCTAATGACCATGATGGCATGGTATCTACGTGGGCGATTTCTCTTGGGATATATGCAAGATGGCATAGTGTTCTTGCTCCTTTTGGTGCTTTCATTACTGTTTGCTATGGCCTTGTTCTCGCGAGAAAAAGGAAAACACAACAGTGCACAGGCTGCAGCCCGCCAAGGAGTGACCCGTCTCTGCATGAAACTACATCTACTCAACGACTACACATCTAACAAGAAGGATAAGTGCGAATCATCACTCGACAGTATCGACTCACACCCTTCGGCACAAAATAGGCTACAGCAGATACAGGGGCTATGCACCCATGTGTGTTACGCTGCTACAGGACAACGTCAGCTGCACATCTCTATGCTCGGTCCTTCTGTCTGGTGTCTATCGTTAGGGATTGGAGTTAAAGGATGCACAAGATTCGGGCATGCTTCTTGTTCGGTGATGTTTAGAAATCAGGGCGTATGAGGCTTTGGGCTAGGTGCGGCTAGGTTGGCCCTTCACCGGCTGAGCACCCTACCTGTCTTCTTCAAACCTCCAAACCCTCAACAACGCGAAGCCTGACCCTACAAACCCCCAAACTAGAGCTCGATATGCGGTCCTTGACGACAGCCTGCGCCAACTGGTGCCGAGCGACACCTCAAGATAGCCAGCTGACATCATCACATGGCAGCTGCAGTCGTACAGACACGGGGGTTCAGGGTCTGAAAGGCTTTTAGGCCTTGCCTTCCCCTGCATTTCACTGCCGAGGGCCGGTTGGGGTAGGGTTGAGGCCCTTGCGCTTCTGATTTAGAGCCGGGCGTTAGAGTTCTAGGCTTGTGCTTGCCAGCGAGGTTCGGGTGTCAGAATGTACAGGTCCTGGCGAAAAGCCGAAATCCAGACTTTGGAGCAGACGTGCAGTGGAAGATGTCTCGAGGGTTCGGAGATCCTGGCGGGGTAGTGAACCTGGGGTCGTCCTACTACCGAGGGCTGATCAGGATGCGACGAAGGATTCCATGTTGACAAGACAACAAGCAAGGGCTCCTTTGCCTGGGCCCATGTTCGCGGAATCGATACCACTTTACTACAGAAACGCTATGGCGGCTGCGACAGCAGCACCCCGGAACCTTGCCAGCTCGAGCGCACGGCGATTCAGAGGACCTGCAATCTGACTAAGATGCCTGAGCCACCTCAGATTCATGTCAAACCGGGCCTGCACATCTTAAGTTACCTAGAGACATCCTGGATGCAGCACTGCTGTTGCCAGGGAGCAATGTCGCATAACATGCTTCACCTGGCCACAGAAGCGCAAGAGAAATAGGACGTGAGTCTATACACTTGGGTGGTTGTCAAAATTATGGTCCCTTTTTGGGTCCTTAATATAATACGGCACCAATTATTTAGGGTACCCCAAAAGGGACCATAATTTTGACAACTACCCACTTGGCTTCCGGGAAAGAATTTGAAGATCTTCTCTGGGAGAGCTACGAGGTCTTGGTCCCACGTTCACCCGGCCTGATCCGCGTTGTCACTTCGAATGGCCTGATGAGCTCTGGAACCACATGGGCATGTCAACGGATAGAGAACAACAACAGGAAAGGCGATCCTGACGACGGTTCATACATCATAAAATCCAAAGCATTGCAGAACATGAGACTGGAGACGAAACACTGACATCGCACACCCTGATAGCAGAGCGATGTTCGGCAGCGAGCTTCGATGCGTTAGGGACACCAGAAGTCCATAGAACAGCCCGGCATCCTGAACATCAAACTGCTTGAAATCCGGGAACCACAGACCCCAAATCTGGACCCGTGAACCCTAAACCCTTTTGGACCTGGACTTGATGGATGCCAGCACCCCACTGAGCACAGGAACCCTAAAACTTAAACCCCAAAACCCACAGCGACCAAAGCCCTTAAAGCTTTCAAAATACCTTACTGTTATGCTATTATGATTTATATTATCGGCAGCAGCAGCAGCAGCAGTAGTAGTAGTAGTAGTAGTAGCAGTAGTAGTAGTAGTAGTAGTAGTAGTAGTAGTAGTAGTAGTGCAGTAGCAGTAGTAGCAGTTAGAAGCAGTAGGAGCAGTAGTAGTCGTCGTCGTCTTCGTCGTCGTAGTTGTAGTCGCAGGAGGAGGACTGATACTTTTGCTGTTATTACCCATTAATGCTACCATTATCCTTGCTTGGAGGTTCATGGGTAGTTATAAATGGGGTTATAAGTAGGGTAACTAATTATACTTATAACCCATATTAGGGGACTTATAACCCCACATATAACTACCCCTAAACCCTAAACCCTATAGAACCCTTTAAAGGAACCCTTACAGGAAGCCCATAAACCCCACTTATAACTACCCGTGAACCTCCAAGTCCAGATTCAGGAAAGAAGCTGCTAAGAGCTCGGCCTCGGCTGCCAGTCCTCAAAAAGGACGGGGTCTCTTGCAGGGTTCAGGGTTTAGGGTCCCTTTAAAGGGACCAGCATTATAGAACTCTATGCTACCCCTTAAAGGGGACCTTATTGTAGAACCCTACACTAGCCCTTAAGGGTTCCTGTAGTGTAAGGGATCGAAAAGGGTCCCTTGAGAGTTTTGGCCTTTGGGGATTTTGTGTTTTGCGAGTTTTGGGGTTTTTGGATTGTTTTGGTCGTGCGCAGTGGAAAATGGAGACCTGCATAGCAGGGTTGTGGTTTGGAACTTGCAACTATGGCAGGTGAAGGTGTTTAGGCAATACTTTTTGGGTGTCGGGCTGTGGCCTCACTGTAGACAGTCTGCAGCAGGTTCCAACCCTTCGAAGCAGTTGTCAACCCAAGCGTTCCCTTGGAGGCTCAGTGGCCTCAAGCATTCCTTCGATCTCTGGTTACGGCGGCTTGCCCCAGGCACACCTTTACATGAGAACTTCCACACAAAAGACCCTCAACCCTATCATAGAAACCTATACTACCCCTTAAAGGGGACCCTACTATAGAACCCTGTACTACCCCTTAAATTAAAGGGGACCCTATCATGGAACCCCTTGAAAAACCGAGCTGTCTGAGTTGCGACTCTCAAGGATCTCGCGGCCGTCGCTGTCCGCTGCCGCCTGCTGGGTTCAAGGTTCTGCACGAGTTCCTTTAACTGTGCTGCAGGGGTTCTATACGGATTTGGGGTTTAGGGCTCGTTTTGCCCACCCACCCCAGCTGACAAAGTCGCACCGCAGGGAGTTCGTTGTCGTGTTTGAGCTCAGGGGGAAGAATCAAGGTCAAATGCACCCTCCTTTAGAAGACAGAACACCAGGGCCAAGGGTTTTGGGTTTGGGATTTCTTTCGAGTTTCGGGTTTTGGGATGACTACTTCCCGTCAGAGGGATCGAGACCCAACTACATGAGCGTTTGCGTCTTATCAGGTTGTAAGGGCTCTAATAAAGGGGTTAAGCTTTAAAGAAGGGAGTTGCAAGCCCTGCTTCTATCCAGGGCCTTGATATAAGAAATCCAGTCATCATCCTCATTGCGTGACAAGTGCTTTCTACGAGGGGTTTGCAACAGTGTAGGGCCCGGAATGGCTACTAACAGACTAACAGTATCGTTTCTAGCCCCTGCAATATTATGCCATACTCAGACCCTACTCGAATTGTTAAGAACCCCCTCATTAAGTCTCTGAGTTGTTGCAGGCCCGTGGTTTTTGGAGCTGTCTTCAAAGGGAGCAGCCGGCTGCTTTGGGGAGTTCGAGTTCAAAGATTCGAGGTCCACCTGTGGGTTTAGGGTTTTTAGGGTCTGATAACCGCGTAGATCCGGACTATGTTTTGCAGGGTTTCGGGCTCTTTTGCTCTTTTGCCCCCTGCATTGCCGAGCGAGCCACTTGGCAGGGGTAAAGACTTTGGGCTTCTGCGCTCACGGACAAGCCAGGCGAGGTTTAGGGTGTAGGGTTTGGAGGAGATGGTTGAAAGTGAAACCAATCATGCTCGGCTGAGGTTGTAGGTGAAACCTATATCTTGAACAGCAACGACTGGACCGAAATCATACTGGGCCTACTACCGGGCTGGCGATGTGTTGCGCGCGCGCGCCTTCGAAGCTCAGATTGCGGCAAACTTGTCATAACTTTGGCCCGACGAGTCACCAACATCAACCCTTCAGAATTCTCAAAGGTAACCGACTCTTAGGGGCTGAAGGGTTTAGGGGCTCCTTTACAGCTATCATGGAGGAACTTTGAGGTATCCGATGCCTGCTAAGTTTCAGGCCCTCAACCCTACCACCGGTAAGACCCCAAAACGGCCTGCAGGCAAGTGCCGACGTCCTCGCAGTCGTTCCTCAAGGACAGGAAGGCCCAGCTAGGGTTCAGGGCGCGTCAGACTCTACACGCCAGGACTTCCTGAACAACTCGATAATCCCCACACGACCCCTAAGTTGCAGGGCCTAGGGCTCATAGATCCTAGAAGGAGCCCCTAAAACCTTCCTTAGAAGAATCCCGAATGTCCGCATCCCTCCTCATCGCCAGCTGCGCTGCGTTCTCGCCAAGAGCGAAGCCTCGTCAGGGTTTGAAGATTCTAGGCTCGGAACCTCGGCGTTGCTATAAGGGGGTCTGATCAGATCAAGGAAGCTACAGTACAAGGGTTCCAAAAGAGTTGCTATAACGGCTCCATGGAGGTTCTAGACGGGGTTGCTGCACAGGTTCGATAATTGTTACTACAAGGGTCAGCATAAGGGTTCTGCAAGGCTTCGAGGTTCTGGGTCGAGGGCGCTTTGGGGCTTGAGGGGCTTGAGGGGCTTGAGGGCTTTAGCTGCTTTGGGGCTTAAGGTTTACATCTTTAAGGTTTCGATTTCGGGGCTGAATTTGGCTGCAGGGCATAAAAATTTCGGTGACATTCGATCTAGGCTTTAGGGTATCTTTGGTGGCAACTTCAAGGAGTACAGGGAGCCTGGTCTGAATCGAGCTGCCTCTTCGAACACAGGCGTGGGAACAGCGCGAATAGCTACCAACTGGTTCGTCATCGTGAAAATTGGACCCGAAATCAACCCTAAACCCTTACCCTAAACGCTAAACCCTGAATGATCTTCAGAGCTGCGCTCTGTCGGTGGCTGGGCACATGGATCAATCCCTCAAGCTCTGGCCGGGAAACTGAGGCCAAAGGAAGCAACCGAGTGGTAGAAGGCCGTGTCCTGGGATTTTGCTGTGCTTCATAGGGTCAGGGTTTCGGTTTAGGGTTTAGGGTTTTCAGGGCTGGGCATGGAAGGAGCCCGGAAGCGCCGTGTTGAAGCCTCGTCCACACTCCAGTTCCTTAAGATTCCTTCTCTCTTTCTTTCATTGGGCGTAGGGGACGGGTAAAGTCCCCTGGCCTTGTGGCCCCCCATGTGTTATGGGGCTTTGGGGGCAAGTT